AATTCAAAAAACATTTGACTTCTATTGACGAGATAAAAAACTAGTTAAATTTTTGGGAAGGCAGGTCTAGGCGTTTATGGACTTTCACTATTTTTTTTTTTTATTTTTTTTTAACTCGTTTTATTTAGCAATCAGAAATACATAAAGATTCCTATGAGCTAAAATGACAATGTAAGAGCGATGCCTAAGAAGAGCTCCAATGAGATCTTCTCAGTTTAACAATTACTATAATAATATTATATTAGAGCTAATCTAAGACTAAGTCTAAAGGCCATTGTCGTTTCAATCTCCTTGTACCATAAGGTTTAGTAATTTCAACTATAGAGGGGTTCGAATGTGAGTCCAGTTTGCGTTTGTATTTTTCCTTGAATTCTTGGAAAGTTGAGGTCGCTGTGAATGGTTTCATTTGTTACGTACCATGGAGAATTAAGAATTGTAGGTAAAATTTTTGACTGAGTTCTCTGCATTATAGCTATATTAGATTTGTAAGCACATCCCCAGAGCTCAATTCCGTGGGTCCAGATTGGTTTGATAATTGATTTATATAGCAGCAACTTTCACTAAAAATAAGTTAAAAAAAACGCCTTTTGGCGGTCATAAATGATCATTATCATATGCACATCTAATTATCAGATATTTCATGTAGATTTTCATAATGTGTACACATTTTGTGTAAATTTTATTGGTTCCATACCAAGATTTTCAATGATGGAGTTTATTTGTATTGTTCAAACAAATATTCTCGACATTTTCGGCAGTATGGAATAACCGATTTGTATAATTTATAAAACATTCGATTTGTGTCAAAATTAATTGTTAAATGTGTGGGTACAGAACATCATCTGTCGAGTCAATTTTAGTAAAAAAAAATTATCTTTACATAGTATCAAACGATTTGGGTCCTGATTTGGCTCACCTTCATTAAAAGCCTTCAGGGTTAGAAGTTAAAAATACATATAAAAAATTACAAATTTACAGAAATATATTCATAAGCATGTAAAATAGCATAAATCTAATATCATCATTATTAATTATATTTTTGTAAATTTGTAATTTTCATATCTATTTTTAAGTTGTAACTCTGAAATCTTTTAATGTAGCACTGAATATGGGTCTAATTAGGACCCCAAACATTTGATACTATAATAGAGACATTTTTGAAAGACAATGCCAATGTTTTGCATAACATCTTAATTTTTCTTAGTAATCATATCTCTAGAAATTATTGTTTTAATGTAATCACTTTTTTCTCCCAAATCATATTGAGAATGCCTCATCCAGCATATATTCCAGAAACTTATGTATAGAGAATTTGAATATAAAATATATAGTATAAATCTATTTATAGATTTGAGCCTAATATGCTAATTGTCGATCTTCCCACCAATGAATAGATGTATCACAATTATTATACCAAATATTTCACTGTACTGCTTTCCCACAATCTTGTCTTCTAAAATATCAGAGTTTTATTCTATTACCCATCGCGTGTCTTCCAGGCAGAAGATATAACGTCGCTCTCACAATCTTGAGTTGTGAACGTTTCTATGATAGTTCTGGTGAATTTATAGCATCATTAAAAGAGCCAATGATACCCGACACGAACAAAAGCATTTGCTCGGGATAAATGCTTCATGTTTGATAAGCAAATGGTGTGAATTGATATGGTAATGGAAAACCATACTGAGGTGGAAATAAAATTTTAGTACGTACGCAACATACAATGTTTGGTCATAGGACGTGTTTATGGAGGCAGAAAGGTATAGTTGATGAACAGGATTTCAATTGCTAATTGTATTACTTGGTAAATTCATTTTAGTACGAATCTTCAAAATCGTTTTTGTTTTTAGTATTTATTTAATACAGTATGTCAAATAAATATATGAAATATTTTCCAAAAATACAAACAACCAATACAATATTGGTACAATTTGTAAAAATACAGCAAATTGAGACAACACTACTACAAATTGCTAATATTGATTTCAATATATTAATATATGGAAATGATCTACTCATATGTATATGGATATATTATATATAAAACATTTATTGGCAACGGCATGCCAGGTTAGATATCGCCGATTTTTGCGTCATTAATAATGCTCAAAATAATATTTATCGATTTCTGTATTCTATGGCGAGAGCAGATACCAACAGGATTTTGTTGACGGGCCAAATGATAAAATATCAGCTTAGGAATAGGGTTGACAAAAGCATCTTTGCCAAATATGTGTATTGTCAATTATAATGCAACTGGAGGGCTTTAACTAGGTATATGGTTGACAAGAATATTGTTGCTCGAGCCTTACTTACATACTGCTTGTAAGATTTTTAGCAAATAGGAAACTATATATAATGATTAATAATGGGTAGTATTGCCCTAAGTAGGTCCGCAAGCTGAGTTCAACTTCAATTCAAGGAAGAATAGCGTGAGAGGTTTCCTATTGCCATTTCACACCGCAGTGTCTGAAATGGGCTATTTTCAATTGGAAACATATTTTTGATATGTATTCTCAAGTGATTTTCTTTTTAATTTATTTGAACAGCGATCAGAACTTATAGGTTCTATGAGCTGTTGTGATTAATATCTTACAAACTACATTTGTTTTATTATAGATGGCAACCCAAATAGTTGTCTCTCATCTCAATGCACTGAATTTTTTATTATTACAATTACTGTAATAGTGATGCATTTAAATGGTGCAGCAATGCCGTATTAGGGCTGTTTTCACTTGCAAACATATTGCTATCTATATTTCCAAATAAAAATCATTGTCACTGCTGCCTGACAACAGGTCGAAGTGGGTATCGAACCAGGGACCTCTGAAACAAGTCCCGTCGCTCTTAACCGCTTACCTACAGGCGAGCCCTCAAGTGAAAATACACAAATATGATGTCAGGTTTCCCAGGCATAGTTCTAACTCACGAGTTAGTCCACACTAGTTTGTGAGCTTAACCATTACATCATGAAAAACTCATTTATATATTCGTAATAATTATAAATAATATTATAAACCACTATATATAACGGTCAGAATACAAACTACGCAGAATGTAGTGTATGATACATATAATACAATGTATGTGCAATAACCTTACAAGCATTGATATAATTCCTGTCTGGATCACTAAATACGCAACAACAACATGTACTAGTGTGTTGCACTATGCAATGACATTGAACAAGTCGTAAGATATTGTTATCTAGAAATTCAAAGTCACCCTGAAGCAAGCACATAAAAGGCTTGCAATGACGCATTCGCCAACTCAGTCATACTTTATTTTTTAGTCAATCATGAAGTAGTCGTAATTCTGTTTTTAGCCAGATCAGTATAACCTCACTAGAACTTTAGTTTTCAGTCAATCATGGATCAGTCGAAACTCAGTAGTCAGTCAGATCACTATAAGCTCAGTTGTCATTTAGTTTCATAAAGTTCTGATCAGTTTGTAAGTTGTTAAAGTTATATGTAAATTGTACAAGAAATCATAAAATAAATAAATAAATACATCAAACATTTAGGTCAGTTTATACTATTAATACTCCACAGATTGGTAACAGCTTTGCTTAGCAGCAGTAGGAACCTACATATTGTTGACACCATCGCTGGATGGGATTCAGAATATTAGTTGTCAATATATATATATATATATATATATATATATATATATATATATATTAACTAAATTGTATTATATCTTGTGTTATATATTTACTAAATAACTTATATCACATTCAAATTCGTATACCTATGTATTTTGTCTTCTACCCATCCCTCAAACCTGCAAACGTGTCTGCGAATAATTTAACTGTTTCGTATCACAATATTGTATTTATAACACTATTTCGGTACAGTATATATTTGATTAATTTTAGGAGTTTATAGTAGGATAATCCTTTATAAAATATAGAAACACTAGATACACGAATGCAAATGATTGCAATTTATTGCAATAATTGCACAGGAATTTATTGTGTTTAAGCTTATATTTTCGATTATAAAATAAAGCTTTAATAGGAATTATCTAAATTGAATGATAATATGAGGGTTATAAATTAATCTGGTTTATATTTATTCTAAATCACGACAACAAATTGTTTGGAAGTTTGGTTTATTATAGATTAATTGAATTAATGAAAATAAAATTGGTTTTAGATGAAATATTTATTCAAGGTCTTTATTTTTTATAGTTATTGGTTATTTATATAGTTATATAAAGTGTTTTAAAATTAGTTTGTTGACTATATGTTTAGGGTTAAAAATAAATTGCCATAATGTTTTTTTGATAAGTATTTTAAAAAACAAATATCATTTCAGCATATAAAAATATAAAGCTATTTTAATATGAAATATTAGAAAAATTATAAATAATCGACAGAAAAAGTTTGGACATCAATTGAATTTTCAGTAACAAATACTAAAATTGATAAATTTCATACAAAACTATAAATTATTCGCTATTGAATAATACCCCATTAATAAAAATTCCACAATTTTTTTTTAACTAATTTAGCTAAAAGTAATTAAGTAATTTTAAGTTTTCAAAACATCTAAATGGTGAGTTTAATATTTAATTTAAACGATGCGAATTTAATATTTGTTAGTGTTTCCCAACCTTTTGTATTGTAGTGTAATGTTTGCCAAACTTTTTTTGGACTTGCGCACACTTAATATTTCTGAAAAAAAAATTTTACCTCCTATAAAAATTGCTACCTCTGAACATGTTTATAATTCCGTAAGAAACTTAAATGGTAAGTTTATTATTGATCAGTGTTTACCAACCCTCTGTATCGTAGTGTTTCCCAAACTTTTTCAGACAAGCGCCCAATTTAACCTTTCGAAAAAAGACTATTGCTCCGGTGTATAAATTGCTTGAATTAAAATTTGTTGAAGAAACAGGAGGCTCTTTTTAAATATTTAAAATTTTATAAATTATTATATATATATATGTATATATATATATATATATATATGAATAAATAAATTCTAAGTACTCACCAACTACTGATAAATACATTGAATGTCCAATTGGAGGAGTAGTTGACACTTGACATTCATAAATTCCAGAATCACGCTTTTGAGGAAATCTCACCTAAAATTAAAAATCAATTTGTTATAACAAGATCATCTTTATCACACGTTAGAAAAAAAAATATATGTATATAAATAAATATGCCAATACACTATTTTTCTGCCATGTTTTTTTAAATAAATAATCAAACAACATATTTCCAATCAGATTTTTGGAAAAACGCGCCTAGCTTGTTTTAGGTTGCAAAGAAAAAATGGAGATAAATTTTATAAAATTTTCAAGATATGCAATTTTATAAAATTCTTAAGATCTGCACCTAATTAAAATATTTTTAATATTTATTAGTATATTACAGTTATACAGTTACTTTTTATGAGTAAAGTTCTATATATACTTACTTGTAACGTCCAGTCCTCCGTCTGCGGATTGTGAACTGTTTGGAACCGCTGGTCAGATGTGTAGGTCATGCGACCCACAGTTAGCAAATGGATGTCACGATGCCGAACCCAGGATACCTAAAATAAAAAATATGGATTAAAACAAACTCAATTATTACCTATTATAAACTTTCAAAACAACCAGGAATTTGTTTAGTTCCATCCTGAACATCAGCAAATTTTTGGCAGTACTTAACGAATGTGTAATTCGAATGTCATTTCATTGATAATATACATTTTCAAAACTACCAGGATTTTTTTTAATTTCCATCACAAAATCAGCAAATTTTTGGTCATTCCTAACAAATGTGTAATTCGAATGCCAATCCATTGACAATATAAATTTTCAAAACTACCAGGTATATTTTTTATTTCCATCATGAAATCAGCAAATTTTTGGTCATACTTAATAAATGTGAAATTCTAATGCCAATCCATTAATAATATAAATTTTCTAAACTACCAGGTATTTTTTTTATTTCTATCATGAAATCAGCAAATTTGTGCTCATACTTAACAAATGTGTAATTCATTATTACTAGGTATTTAGAGTAAAAAAACGTGAATCATAAAAATAAAATTATGAATGAAATAAGCGTAAGATTAACGTTTTTCTATTATTAAATCAATTATTTTTAATCAATTAATTGGTTTCATTTTTTTTATTTAGCCATGTATGATATCACTTTTTATAAATTTTTCATAAATTTTAGATATTTAATATCCCATTATATATTATAAAGTAATATATAATAGGAAATGGTATCATTTATTATAAATAGTAAGTTTCAAATTATTTATCACATTTGTCTTATAGCATCATCCTCCAAGCAAATTTCCAATCAAAAAAGTTTATAATCAAGTAATAGCTATATATGAGACAAAGTCGACGTGCGTCATTTAAAGCAATTAATTCGTACAATAGTAAAGTTTTAGAAATTCATTATCCAAACAATTACAATACCTATTTCGTTTAACTCATTTTGTAGTATGAACTGCCGAAACTATAAACGTAAACTAATTTGTACAGTTTAAAGTTGTAAATTTCAACATTGTACGCTCTAGATTCCTAAGTAACGTTATTTGAACACAATAAATATTTCGGTTTTTGTATTTTCAGAATAACGTTTGCGTTCATTTGAAATGCTATGGAAATAGAATTAAATTAATTAGTGGTTTTATTGCACGAAAAGTTTGTCCGAAACTGGAAATAAATGCATGAATGACATACATTTTGAATAATAGATGACTGTAATGAAATGATACAATTTTAAAATTATTTTAATATTGTTACGTTCATGTATTGATTTTTTAAATCAGATAAACTTGTATAATATTTCTACACATATCGGAAAATTGCACTTTTCTGTACTTTCTGTACAAGGTTAAGTTATAGCAATGAGCCGGAAAAAATGAAATTTTTGAAGATCTTGACGTTTCAGAGGTTTCTGAACATTTTGGCACACCTCAGATAAAATGAATGTGTGTGTGTCCGCATTTTCTCGACCACGTTTTCGGGCGCACGGATTAATCGATTTGAATGATTCAAAAATTCATTATCAAATCGATTCCCATTGATAGGGATATGTCCTGATTAGTTTTTGGCAAAGACAGGTCTAGCCGTTACCGATATACGGAGCAAAGAATGCAGAAAATAGAAATCAAGTCTTTGAGAGAACCGAGTTTCCAATTTGAATGATCAAAAAAACAATTTTTAATGGGAAAAGAGTTGATTAGTTTTTGCAAAAGGCAAGTCCAGCAATTTCGAAGATACAGTGCAAATGTACAAAAAATGGCAGTTTTTGATAGAACTAAGCATCCGATTTGAATTATTCAAAATACTCTCTGCTTGTTTCGACAAAATTATTGCTTTTGAAAAAAAAAATGTGACAATTTTTATTTGTATATCGAAAATAATTCAGATTTTGATTTTAATTCTGGCTAATGTTCTAAAGCTCACTTACTTTAGATAAATAATTTTGACTTTGCAATTCAGTTTATATAATTCTTATAAATATTAGACAATGTAACAGTATTTATAACAATGTATTTGAGAAACATTTAATATTTCTCGAACATTTCGTTACACTGCGGGAAGTTCTAGCAATCTGCCTTAAGGCACGATGCCATACACCACTAGTTGAATTTTACGATCGAAATCTTTTATTTTGTTTTCTTATAATTCGTAAAAAAATACATATAGCCCTAAATTTTCATCTTCTTACACAAACACATTTTTAGTAATCATATAAATTTTCATCTCGATTTCATTCAATAAATGTTTTTCAACGAATTTCGATCAAGATTTTATTAAACTTATGCAAAAGCTAAAATTTAACATTAGTTGTCCACTCATTAGTAATTCAAAAACACATGTTACCCTAAATTTTCGCCGTCCTACTTCAAACCTGTATTTCCTAATAGTCATTGTAGATATTGAATAAATTTTCATCCCGATTTCAGTCAGTGAATGCTCTCGATTGAATTTCAATTCAGATTTTTTTGAGTCTATGGAAAGGCTTAAATTTTACTTGAAAATAGAAAAACAATTTACTTATATCATGAGTAGTCCAAAACTAACATTTGTTTTAAATTTTGGGATTAATTTTCTTTGTTTTTGTTGTTTCTAATGCGTTATTGAAAAATACATACAACTCAAAATTTTTACCATCTTTACCACATTTTCTTAATAGTCATAGATTCATAGAACCCATTTTAGTAGCTCGATAACTAACCAATTATTTTTATGAACAAACGAACAAAAATAAAACTATTTTCTATTTGTATAGTGGTGTGTGTGTTGTGCCAGGAGAGAAGAACCTGTTCCAGCAAAGGTCAGATAGTATTGTTTATTAGCTATTCCCTTCGTTAATAATTAATAAAGATTTATCAGTACTTTAGAGTTTAGGCATAGGCATGACTGTACGTAGGTACAGTTATGTTCTCACACCTGTAATCATAATAAAGCATTTTTAAATAAAAAAGTAAATACATTTTTGTTCATTTTTGTAGTTTCCACAGGTAATTACAGGGTGTTCATAGAAGTCGTGTTAAGAAGTTGGAGTAACCCTTTCGTAATGGGGATGCAATGCTAAAAAATAAATTAATACCCTAGAAGAAGGGCTTTCAACCTTTAACTCGTCACAATACCAATGATGGTAAAAATAATAATAATGCAGTGTTAAACTTCACGTCAAACCAAGAAAATGAAAAGCGTTGTGTGGTATAAGCGTTGCCATTTTATACGCTCGCCTTGCAGTATTTCGATTACAATATGATATTAAACTTAATCACGTGCGAAACATTGCCTCAATATGCAACCATTGCATAACAATTATATCAGTAACATGATTCTTGTCTGGCAAAGTTCCTCGGCAATGGATTCCGTTAAATTCAAGTGAGCCGCCGTCAATGGAAAGCCTAAAGCTGATCAAGCGCGGCAATTTCAATTGTGCGGACGCATCGGCCCGTCGAACGCAAACATCTCAACATCCACGAGTAGAACACAATACAATAGATCGAGTGCACATATCACAGAATGTTGGTAACAAAACTAGCTTATACTGTATAAAAAAGGTTTCCAAACTTTATGGACGATTGATTTGTACATAAGTATATCCAAAAACTATGTTCGACGCGTGATACATCCACGAACTTTGGACGTTATGTCAGTTATAATCACTCTAATGTATTAATTATAATCTATACTAAGTCTTTGTACAGAGTTAGTTAAAAAGAACGCCAAAGTTGTATGTATTAGATAGGCAACTAAGTAAATGCGGTTATCAGCTTAGATGGTTTTAAATGAATTTTTAGATTTGCTGGCGTCCAAATATAAAATACCACGTGTTATTGGATAGTAGAAAGTCTAAATGTCCATCAGTAGTAAAGAGCTTTTCGATCGATTACGTAGTTTTCATTTGGTGATCATCGAAAGATAGAAAATAAATGGAATTTTTTTGTCTTCCTGCTTTTTTATTTTTGCAAAGGTACATAATGGCATCTTAAGATCGCAAGAAATATGAGCAGTTTATAGTAACATACAACAAATTACATACATTTTGAAAATTTTTCACCCTAAGATGAAAAATGCTCTGGTCGTCCAGTTGAAGTTGATTATAAAGAAATTGTCTACTTGTGCTCTTACAACCCGATGGAAATATCAATTCTAATGTCTACATTATACAACTAGTGAAACTAAACAACGCAGTCGAAGAAATTAGTGCTATATTGACAAATTAGTGGAGGTTTAATTCATTATTGACATCACATATCTTTGGCTACTAGGCAAAAATTATTGGAGGTTGATTGGGATCAGGACTATATGCCATATCCAGCATATAGTCCTGACCTTGCATCTCCTTAAATGGTAAACAATTCAATAATTATTGTGTCAACTGTCAAATTGTACCTAATTTAGTTTTTTTGGTAATAAAAACCAGAAGTTTTGTGGAAGTTGAATAAAAATTTTCTGTAATTTTTGAGTGAAAAATCATCAGAATGAAATTTGGCAAACCAATTTTGACACTGGTCTTTAGGGTTTTGCTACCACAAACTGCTCATAACTTTTTTTGAGTTTAAGATGCCTTCCTTTGCAGAAACTAACATGGCGAATATGACAAAAATTTTCAATTTGATTTTCTACCTCTAAACGAATTCCAAATGAAACTATTCAATGGAACAAAAAGCCTTTTATCACTGAAGGACATCTAAACTTTTTTGCACAACTTACAATTAGTAAAATCAATGAATGTAAGTTCAAAGTAAATATAAAGTAAATTGTGTCAATTGCAAATTGAGGGCATAATTCAAGGAATAAAATACAAATTTAATGTCATAGGTCTCTTTTGTTGAAAACTCATAATAAGTCGGTAGTCACAAGCAATCAAAAGGTTATGTATTTGCTATTTGATCAAGCATTTCACACGTAAAACCCAACCTCCAAATGTCACAAATGCCAGAATATAACCTATGTTAAAGAAGTTGCAATTATGATAACATTGTTATTTGACATTTGTGCCATTTGGAGTTTAGGTTTTATGTGTGAAAAGCTGAATCAAAAGGCAGTTCTTGACTAC